TCCTCACTGTAGAGACAGTAACAGAACATACTCTGTATTTGATGTGATCTAGTAAGAAAATTTCTGTTTCAGGGCTTTAGGTAGACTTTGCAGATTGCTTTTAACAGGTTTTACTTCATGGAATTATATGCCAAAAACCAGATCAGGGCAAACACTCCTCTCTCAGACGCTGAAGTTTAAAGCCCGTGCAAACTAATAGCACTGCTTAATGATCCAGCTTTCAGAATTTTTTCCTAAGAGACAAATACCGTGCTTTTTCATAATTGCTTTCTTAGAAACTAATGAACTATTTTTGCTAATGTTCTTCCGCTGTAAGGATAAAAAAAAAAAAAAAAAACCAAAACCCTGCATTCAGGAACTTAATTGAGAAGTATTAAACAACCCAAATTTTAAATATATCTCATCAGCTTTGTTTATGATGGTAAAGCGCCTGTACAAGGTGGAAAAATACTAATTAAAAAAAAGATTAATCTCATTCGTGTAAGCAGTGAATGACTAACATGGTTGTTTTTATGGTCTTGAAGAAAAGAATGCCTAGTTTTACATTTTCGTTCTCAAACCTCTGAGAACAAAAAAGGTGTTCTGCATGATTTCCTCAAGCTCAATCTTGCTCTGCTTCTTGGCAGACACCATCATTTTTTAGGTACATTTTTTCCTGCTGTTAGCTGTGCTGCAGGGCACCATCTCCAAGGTCATTATCGAAGGGTTTCTTTGTCAGCCTGGCAAGCTGTCTCCTCCTGCCTCCACAAAGCCAAGGGCTAGTCTGGTCCCACTGAAATCCACAAAGGTCCCGTGCCAGAGCTGTGCTTTGACATTATGCTGGTTCCACAGACTCCAGTGGCCCTTCGCCAGTTTACCTTATCTGATGATCTGGCTCCAGGAGAACAAATCCCTAATGACTCACGTCCACCTCATACCTGGTGTGCATGGGAAGAAGTCGTTTTTCCAGCTGGGTCCCACAAATCCCAGCAACTCATGTCTTGTCTCGTAGAGCTTCTTTCTTCCAGGAGGTGCTGAATAAAGTATGCATTCAAAGACGTTTGCTTGACACATACCCCATGTCACACGACGTCATGGGACAAGGTGGCAGGGTGAGGCCGAGCGTTCAGTCCGCCCGCACCCTCTATAGGGACTGCTACGGGAGAGCGCTTGGCAGCGCTTGCTGGGGAGAAAGCAGCTTCAAATCATGTTGAAAATTAAGCAGAAATGAATAGATTTGCATACAGTTATCTTAGTACAAATAACTAGCATGAAAAATTTATAGTGTGGTATCAAAATCAGAAAAAAAAGCCTCTTTTCACCAAAGTGCTTTCATTCGGATGGATATTTTATTTTGCTTTGCACATGCAAACCAACATCTGGGAGTGCTAATATAACACTTAAATCTTAACATAAAATTTGAAAAAACTCTGAAAAACCAACTTGGAAATCCATTGTTGCTAATAACTACTGCCTAGTAAATACACGGGTGTTAACAAAGCCTCTCTATATAAACTAATATACGAATGTGAATTCTAAACTGGACTACTGACAAGTAAATGGATTTAAATATTTAGCTTTGCAAAGTCCTTGTGTGAATGCAAACACTGTGAATAATAATAAAGTGGAACAGGTACCTAAGCAATAGTAGAATAAAACTCCAGAGTGTCATTGAACAGCATAGCTGAGGGTAATTATTTTAAAATATGATTTTCAAAAATACATCTCCATTAATAAGTTATCATCCCATTGTGTCTGCCCCCACAGTTGATTTTGTCTTCTAAAGTGTATTTAATAGGCTCACACAAAGTTGTGGCAATTTAGAACTTGCAGGTCAGAGCAAGTTCTAAACTTTCTACTCTAAACTTCTGGCAGAAACCCCTGCCAGTGGGGTTCCACAGCTCAAGCACAAATCTATAGCACCATGTTTAAATCTGTGATGTGAAGCCCTGAATGGGCTTTGTATAAATTAACCGTGGTACCTGCAAGGCAGCTTCCACTGAAGGCAGCAGCCTCCCAATCAGGCAGGCATGGGGACCTGCCCAGTGAATTAAATTGTTGAGTATTGGGTTAGAGGCTTTTGGTGAGCTATTGTAAAAGATCTGGAAAAGACTCCTCTGTATTCTGGCTGACTAATATTTTCCATTATAAAGGACTCTTTCTTTGGGAAGCATTAACACCTCTGTTGTTTGTTGCATGCCTTTGATATTTAGCAGGGGAAATCCCAGAGGCTATAGTGGTACCTATTCATTGCCCAGAGAAACGTGAGTCAGTTTTACCCTTATTGTAAAGTATTAAAAAAGGCCGTGTCTCTGATTCATGCACAAAGGCAGATTGAAATCAGGCTGCCACCCACATCTGTCTGGCCTGCCCCCACTGCACAGATGGCTCAACTGATCTTGAAACATCAGCTGAATTGCCACAAATTCCAGCTCGGCATATTTAATAATACTAAAACCTGAGCACAAAGATCTCAGCTGCCTGCAAAGCAGGAACTTTCAAGGCAGGAACAAGGCGGACAGCTGTGGAAGGAGATATTTACAGTTGTGACTTTCAATCTGCCTGTATTTGTGACAGGAGTCTTAAATTCCTTTTCTCTCTCTGGCCAAGACTGCTAAACAAGGCAGACAACCTGGTCTGGGTTGTTAGGCTGAAGCAGCCATGAGCACTGCTGTCTGAGCACAGGTGCACAGTCAGAGGCATGACTTGGGGTTCCCTCCAGCAAACCCCACTCCCATTCATAACCCAACTGTAGCAAAATGGCACAGACCCTTCAGTTGGCTGGCTCCCCCCACGCTCCATGTGACAGCAAGCGTAGGAAGCAGAAGGCACAGTCCATGTGGGAGCGTAACAGATGCTGTGCTGATGCCAGCTCCTCACCCGCTCCGCACAGCCTTCCCGAGGGCCCTGGGCAGAGCGCTGTGCTGCTCCGGCTGTGGGGATGAGAGGGAAGGCGTCCTTCTCCTTCCCTCCCCCAGCCCTGCACGCAGGCCTAGCATGGCCTCATAGTCACACAGAATCACAGAATGTTAGGGATTGGATGGGACCTCGAAAGATCATCTAGTCCAATCCCCCTCCTGGAGCAGGAACACCTAGATGAGATCACATAGAAAGGCGTCCAGGCGGGTTTTGAATGTCTCCAGAGGTCCTTACGCCCAAGAGTGGCCGGCAGTTAGATGGTGAGTGGCCAGTTCAGAGGAGACAGTTTTCTACAGAAGACGCACAGTGTAAATCCCCCCCCAACAGAAGTGCCCCACAATCCTTGGGGTTACATGCCAAGCTCACTCCAATTTCAGACACCCTGTTTTTGTTCACACTATTCCCAGCCTGTCCTGTCTGATGCTTCATTCTATTTGGCTGGGGACTCAGCCATGTGCAGGCCGATCGCTTGTCTGGGGCTCTCAGCATCAGTTTGTCTACATAAAGGAAAAACATTCAGCAAGTGGTGGTGATGCAGTCCTGCTCTGCAAACGCTCTAGAAGTTGCTTTCCAAGTGGCACCACAGGCTTTTCTCAGAGAATACCCCTGGGTCCCCGAGGGACTCTGGCTTGTAGTAGCTAATGAAGGGTAGGTTAGTCTTCTAGCTGACTTCTCCTGTGTGTAAGTCTTACGTGTTTTAGTTGGAGGGCTCATTCAGTCCTTGTTTTAAAAAAATGTTTAAAACATTGTAATCCATTTTTGCTGTGATGAAAGATACCTGTCTTTTTTGTCTGTGCTCTTCATACAAGAATAAAATAAATGTCTTTGCCAACCACTTTTCCTCATGGGTCAGAATAACTATGGCTATGTAGAGTTATTTATGAAAATAGTTAGGTACATCTGGCTATGCTGCCAATATAATTTATTTACTTTCTCATCATTTGTAGCACCCAACAAACAAGTATAAAATTTCCATTGTACCAAATGGTATATAAATCCTAAAGTCATCTCTATGAACATCTTTAACTGTTTTATTTAGACATAACCTTCTTTTTTATTTAAATGTATTCATTTAGCAATACATTGTAGCTTAAAAGTCCATTATAATAATAAAGTCTCTCTAATAACTCTTGAAATAATTATAAAGTCCCTAAGTAAAACTCAGAAACCTGCCAAAATTGAATTTTTTTTATATACATCTCACAAACTGTTATCTGGTTTCTAATAAATAACATAGTGGGCTAATAAAAAATGGTGTGTTTTTTACCTACCAATTCAAACTGTTTGTCTCATGCATTGGGCTCAACACTTTCCCCGTGGGCTATATTTTTTTAATAAATAAATGCACACACATATATATGCTATATGAATATACAGAACTGAAACGTTTCTTCTCCAAAAGGCTATAAAATTATTGTATGTGCATAATATTGTGTCTATCTTGCATGTATTCACAGAACCACAGAATGTTGGGGATTGGAAGGGACTTCGAAAGATCATCTAGTCCAATCCCCCTGCTGGAGCAGGAACCTAGATGAGATCACACAGGAAGGCATCCAAGCAGGTTTTGAATGTCTCCAGAGAAGGAGACTCCACAACCTCCCTGGGCAGCCTGTTCCAGGGCTCCGTCACCCTCACTGTAAAGAAGTTTCTTCTCAAGTTTAAGTGGAACCTCCTGTGTTCCAGCTCACACCCATTGCTCCTTGTCCTATCATTGGGCATCACTGAGAAGAGCCTGGCTCCATCCTCGTGACATTCACCCTTAACATATTTATAAACATTAATGAGGTCACCCCTCAGTCTCCTCTTCTTCAAGCTAAAGAAGCCCAGCTCCCTCAGCCTTTCCTCATAAGGGAGATGCTCCACTCCCTTAATCATCTTGGTGGCTCTGTGCTGGACTCTCTCAAGCAGTTCCCTGTCCTTCTTGATCTGAGGGGCCCAGAACTGGACACAATATTCTCTGAGCACATGAGAATAAATTAACATGAAAGCTGAGAAAACACAGGATTACATACAAGATTCAACAAGGATAAAAGTGAAGACTTGAAAATATATTTTGTTTAAAAAAAAAATAAACCTCCTCTGAAGAGTAAACTTTTCACAGTCAAAATCCATGAAAATGCTGTTTTTCTGGAAAGCTCTCTGAATTCCCAAGCCCCGTTCCAGTCTACTAGCTTTTCCTTCATATTCATTGGTTTTGCTTCATCAACTTCAGCAAAAGTACAATAGTTTTCAAACAGCTGTACAGCAGTTTAAAGTTCAGAATACACAGGCTCTGGCATATAAGTCTCTATTTCTACCAGAACATTTTCTCCAGTAACTTGTGACCACAGCTGAAGCTGTGTGAAAAGTACTTCTGCTGTTGAAGTGTCTCTTTTGCAAGAGTCCCCTCCTTTTCTTTCTTCCAAAACTATTTTGACTTGAAGACTTATTTGTTACCATCTTGTTATTAAGAGCCTGTCCTAAATCCATGACAGCATTATATACTGCTAAATTCAAACTCATGACCTTCATAATCTTTTTCATATCTAAGGGAATAAAATTGAAAATACTGAAAATACAGGTTACAAACATTGGATTTACAGAAGAAAATACAAACAACATTAATTAGATTGCCAAAACTGGGAACACCAACAATTAAAAGATCAGATTGCTGTTTATTAGGTGGCACTCAAACAAAGATACTCTGTGTGAAAGAACACCTGCAATAAGTAGTTTTTATCAAATATGTATCATGTAGGAGGAAATAAGAGACACCTATTCATAATTATATTTTATTTGCTGGATGTTCTTGACCCAAAATTGAGAGTATGACTTGTTTATACTACAGAAGCTGTTTATATATTTATGTACTTTCTTTGATGGATACAACTTGCAGGCTCAAAAAATTTCTTTCAACAATCTAGGTTACAAGAATTTCACAGTGTTAAAAGTTATAGAAGCAAAAAGACCTTTTTTTATCTCCCGTGGTTTAACCATCTTTACACTAGGTTTTCCGTCATGTTAGTGAAACCTAAGTAGAAAATTGTTTCACACTCGAAATGTTTAAAACTGAACAAAACTTAAGATAGCATTTAATTAAATATCTGGATCTCTTAAACAAAACATTAAAAAAATACGATCTGAGCAAGAATCAACTGTTAACATACCCGAAACGAGAATAACTGCTGAGTTTATGAGCTTTTCGAAGATGTAGGGTCAATGTATAACTCCAGGAGAAACATTTCTGACAGATGTGGCATTTGTATTTCAGAATGCACTTACTTTTGGAAAGGAAGACTGCTAGAGTCATTAAAAGCTTGCTTGTATATATGATGAAAAATAATCCTTTACTGAAAAGGGGAAAAACACGCTTAACTAGCTGAAAACCTTTTCAAAGTGAACTTCCTAAAAATGTTTGAAATTTGTGGGTTTTGCTGCCTTGGCCATCAATACTGCAGATATCTCCAACAGCAGTTGTGACACATAGTTTCCACTACCATATATTCATTTTACAACACAGCAGTGATCCTAACTCAGAAAGCTGAAGAAACAGGTAACAAGCGTGCATAAACTATAGCAGCCAAAACTGTACTTTAATGTTGTGGCCAGACTCACCCAATTAAAAGTGATTTAAAAGCTTTACACACTTTATAGTTTCTCTATTTTCAGGTAACATAGTAGTTCTAAGGATGGAGTAGCAACAGGAGGAGAAAGGTGACATTGGATTTTAATCTCTGAAATATTTTGCTGTTGAGATCAGGATTGGCATGTTCTTTTTTTTTTTTTTTTTAAAAAAAAAAGGAGGTAGGAGGGTTGGCCAGAGTTCAAGACTGTTACTATGCAACTGCATGCACCTGAGGTAAGCACACAAAATCTATACGTAAGGATGATTCAGGTATTTGCATAATACTTGCAAGAGTCCTAGAAATGTGTGCAAATAAATACTTGATTTGATGCAAAAATGAAACCTTTCATTAATTCACAAAAAACTAAATGCACACCAATTTGAAACTTTGGTGTCATTTATAGCAATATATTTTATTTTAATACACTCACCACATGAACTTTCTCGTAATGCTGTCTCAAAGTTCGTAAAGTCCGTGAAGTAAAACCACATCCTTCAACATCACAGCTGTAGGCATCTGAATCACTGTGTGTTTCAACATGTTTATGCAGATCATACGCGTTCTTAAAACTGAAAACAAGGTAAAACAAACAACAGATATAATAGTACAGACGAGTAGTCTTGTGGTTAATGTTTAGGACTGGGAGGTAGTAATTTTTGGCTCTGAAAATGACAAGTGAAAGCGGAATACGTGTAAATCGCTTCTCTACCTCAGTTTTTCCACCTGTGAAAAAGGGATAGTGCAGACATCTCTTTGATGTGTTCTGGATTTCATTTTCCATTCCCTCTTTCTTCCCACACATCCACACCATGCCCAAATATAGGTAATTCTTCCACAACCGTGTTGCAAGCCATCACCCTCTCTTTCTGTTCACAGAGAGAAAATTCTTGTCCATTATAGTCATTTGATCTTCTCTGGTCTAGAAATTCAGATTATTTCCTTTTGTCCACCCACAGTGTGAACACAAAAGTACTTAAATATTTGTTCACTTTGTCCCACTTCCAGCATACAAAAGCTAGACCTCTCATCTTCTCTGGCAAAGTTTAACATAATTTACTAATGCTTATATATGCAATTTGGTCTATCACATCAGAATGCCACTTTATTTATTTATTTATTTATTTATTTATTTATTTATTTATTTATTTAAATTCACTGCTGTGTGGCATCATGTGGTGCAACCAGAAAAGAAACCACCCCAGAAAAATGAGAGTGCAAGACAGCAGAAGGTATAATAAGCCTGTGGCAGAAAAATCACTCAAAGGAGAAGACAAATAGCCAGCAATCTTTTAGAAGGCAAAACCCACAGTTTAAGGCACTACTGATAAAGAGCTCAACTTGTTGTGATGACCATTTTGTACTATATAGTATTGCCAATAAAATTCACTTTTTAAACACATTAGTCCTACTTGCACAAGTGTATGAACTACAGTTTCTCAGCAGCTGAAGGCAAATGAACAGCAGATGAAAACCTATTAGATTTCTTCATTGAACAGTTGATTATTTTTGTAGTTGAAAACTTTTCTTTCTTTACTAACTCCTATGTAAAACACTAACTTGGTTCTACAGTTCTGCTCACATAGCTACGAGCCTCTAATTTTCTTACCCACTGTCACAGAGGTGACAATGGAAAGGACATGGAATCTGATGTGTGCTTTCAGTGAGGAGACACTTGTGCATACTGTATCACAAAGGGCACATGTAACAGGATTAACTAGAAAAGACAGGAGAAAGAACGAGACTTCAGTTCTGTATCACAACTTCACCAGGACACTGTCTGCTATGACATATCACCAAAAAAAAGTGTTAAAATATCATACAAAAAGTAACAGATTATAATACATATGGGAATAAAATATACAGAGGAAAAAAAGATAAAAGTAGAATGCAGATACAATAAAGAGAGCAATGAAATAATGGTCAATCTTACAGTGTTTCAAGCTACTTTCAAAAATAGGTGGTAAGGGAAAAAGATGCAGAGGATCATGTTTCACTCTTGAGGATCTAACAAAAAGGATGATTATCATCTTCCCCTTGGCACTTTGGGAGGATTTCTAAAAGGTGGAGGTTGTCTGGAGGCCTTCTGACAGACATGCACTGGCAAATCTACTTTTAGTGTTTAAAGTATTACCACTCTTATAAAAGTGGCAGAAAGAATATGTGTTTGTCCTCCGCCTCCCCATTTCACATTTGGATATATTTGCTTAGGGCATAATAATGCGAGGTGCTTGCTAAGCTGCCAGACTCCAGACTGCAATGGCTGAGACACAGGTTTGCTCCGGCAGCTCTGGAACTGGGGAGAACCTCTGGCAGGTTGGCAGGCAGGACTGTAACATCTTAAGCTGAACGAATGCTTGCTTTGCTGCATGCGAATCAGCAACCTGATTAATGCACTAGGAAGAGTCTAATAAAGAAGTTTTGGATTTAGTCAAAATCTGTTACATTTAGGACTTTGAAACAATGCATTATCAGCCCAGTGCTTTACAGATGGCCAAAGAAAAACATGCAGTTGAAGCACTCATGTTTTCTCAAAAAAAAGGAAGTAAAAATAATGTAATGCAACTATTCTGGAATCACTCCCTGCATAGACACTTTTCCTCATAGTTTCTCTTAAACAAGGAAATTTTTTTTCCCCTCGCTAAAATAAATTGCTTCATGTGGAAAACTAGTCTGGAATAACTTAATCTGCAAAACTGCATCACTGAAGTTCAGCAGTCTCTTGAAATTGGAGTATCCAACAGTTCATTTAGTTGTCTGACATGTAAGTAAGTCCACGTAGGGAGTGATTTCAGTATACCTACAGCATTTGCATTCACATCACAGCTTATTTCAGAATAATTTCTTATAGGTCAGCGAGCACTGTAAAGGAAAATTTCAATATTTATCTATATCAGCAAGCTATTATGAAATATGCTGCGGTAAGAATCTGAAAATCATGTTTGCACTGGCAGTCTGCACTAACATGCAGACGTATGCTGCCAGAATTTTTAAAGAAAGCTGAATCATGAACCAGGGAAGTAACTGGCTCTAGTATCTGAAGGGATTTAGGTTGTACCTAAACAGCTGGACCCAGGAAAAGAATGCCTCCCAGCTCCCTCAGCCAAGTTCACATTACAGCTGGTTCGCTGTGGCATACTGGGACACGGCACAGGTTCACATCATCCTTGTTCCTAGGTCCAGCCACCTTGTCATTTTCCCTGGCTGTGCAAAAAGAACACAGTCTGAATTATCAGGGGACAAGGACAGCCAGGCACATTGAACAACTCACAAAGGTTTAAGTGCAGCCTGAGTGACCAGAAACAAATAGTTCAGTTAGCCATGTGTGTTATTTACTATATCAAATCTATCTGAATGTGTGTTATGCTTCAATTAAAAAAAAAAACCAAAATACAACAGCATATTTAAACTGCTTCCTTAGCTAATAAAAACAAACAAAAAATACCAATTTGTATTTATTTCTAATTTCTATCCAAAATCACCGTGCAACAAAGGAATAAAATTGATCTAGTAAACAAAAAAAAAAAAAAAAAAAATTCTCCATTATTTAATATAAAAATTAAGATATTTTAGTCAGATGCATGTCAGCTATAAAACCTTTTCAATATGAACATCCTCAGTCCTGGTAGCTCACAGTAAGCACCAAATCAAATGCATAGTTGTTAAGCATCAATGTGTTGACTTGCAGACAGTGAAAAACCATGTTTCCCTTAGAATGCAACTAGAAAGTAGAATCTACCCTGACTGAGCAAGTCTACACAAAGCTACTTGTATGTTCATACAACCTAAGTGAGCGGTGCTCAGGTTTGGCCACATGGTTCAAATATTCCTATTCCCAAAGCAAGGACCCACCCGCCTCTCGGCTTCTGCATTTCCTGTATGTCCAACAGCAATATCACATGTGTTTCCTTGTGCTGAGATGCTGTAGGATTCTTTCCCAGCAAGTCATAGCTGTTGTAGTATAACTTGTGAGAATAATTTGGGGACCTCAGGGAGATTGTGGTTAGGTCAACGAAGGACTACACTATTTGAGTGCAGCCGATTATGCACTGCAAGGTGAGCAGAGCTGCACCCCAAACTCAAACATAGCTTCGGCTTTAACCCTGCCCCTTGTCATGAAAGCAAGTAAACAGAGATGCAAGGGAGGAATAAACATCTGCATGGGAGCTACTGCAAAACAGACAACCGCCTTAAGCTTTTTGATCAGAAGGCACGAAGAAGGGAATTGCCGTGCTTCAGAGGGACTGTCAATGAAGTTCCTACTTTCCAGTATTTGTAACACAGTTGCCCTAGTTCCGTATATTAATTTTCTTAGCCAATATAATGATACTTATAATAACTCTGTAGTTTATCAATACTGTTCTGTACAAGGTGACCTTGAGAAAAGCACATTTTATTTTGAAAAGCTCTGACTTACCGTGTCCCCTCATGTGAACTTGTAGCAACCTTTCATTGACAAAATGTTTCTGACAGTTCTGACAAACAAATCATAGAATCATAGAATGTTGTGAGTTGGAAGGGACCCACAATCATCATCCAGTCCAACTCTTGCCCTAGCATAGGACAATCCCAAGATTCAGACCATGTGTCTGAGGGTGTTGTCCAAATGCTTCTGGAATACTGTCAAGCTTGATGCCATGACCACCTCCCTGGGAAGCCTGTTCCAGTGCTCCACCACCCTCTGGGTGAAGAACCTTTTCCTAATGTCCAACCTAAACTTGCCCTGACACATCTTCCTGACATTTCCCCTGGTCCTGTCATTGGTCACCAGAGAGAAGAGATCAGGACCCACCCCTCCTCTTCCCCTTGTGAGGAAGTTACAGACTGTGATGAGATCTCCTCTCAGTCTTCTCTTCTCCAGGCTGAACAAACCAAGCGACTTCAGCTTCTCCTCATAATGGCTTCCCCTCTAAGCCCTTCAGCAATATTGTGGCCCTCCTCTGGACACTCTCCAGTAGCTTTATATCCAGAAATATTTGTTCTGAGTTTAAATAGAAGTTATTTAGTGGCAATACAAATAACTTGTGAAAGACTTATTAATTAATAACCTATGGCTGCCAGTTTAATGAATAAACAAACACAGCATTAAGACAGTTTCAATATCCTTTTTCATTACCAATATTCTTCAGAAGAAAATTTAGTTAGGCTTAATGAAAAGGATTGTTTATCAGTAACCTAATTTTCCCCTAAAAGGATAACAATCTGTTCAAAACACTAACAGTTTAAAATTTGAGCCCTCCTCTCAATTAGCTACAATGCACCTACTTTGCATCACCAAAACATCCACAATTCCTAAACATATTCCAAGCACTTAAAACCAGGAAAAAACCAACCACTTCTCCTTTCCTCTCTAGCATGCAGGAAAGCATGCCAACTAAAACACAGCTGGTTGAGGTAGGGAGTGTTCTGGTGAAGGAAATACTTACTGGAAAAGCAAAGCTGAAGAGAAGAAAATTGCCTTTTGACCTGACAGTAGTTAAATGATCATTGGGATTACTTGCAGGGATTTTGTAATCCAAGCCTGGCTCTTGTGGAGGTTCTCTCTTCAATAGTCAAAAGTCTTTCCCATTCACGGGCAGTTTCCCAGTGTCAGTGGAATGTCACGCTGTGCCATGGGCAGCAAGGGAAGAGAGGCAGCGCGATGCCACAGCTGGCAAGTTAATAGCTTTTCTGCTGAAACACAGATCTAAGGGTGTTCTGTTGCTCACTTTCATTACCCTAATTCATCAGACATGCAAAGTCAAGAGAACTTCTATGCTTTAGGAAAATAATTGCCTACCTGGAGTAAACCCTGCTGTCCTGCAATTGACTTATATGAAAAATATAAATGTTTATTAAATTACACATGCACATTATCACAAAGCACCTTAAATCGAAATCTCTTAGGAATATAAACAGAAATAAGAGCATACCAACTTACTATCTTCTGAAACTTGACTCTTTGCATAATCAAAAAACTTTGTGTTATTGGAGAACATTCCTCCACAAGTAAGACATGCTACAACTCTTTCTTGTGTGTGGGTTCTTAAATGATCCCGTAGCTCATGCTTTCCTTTAAATACACTTAAACAATCTAAAACAAACAAACAGAAAAAAAGCTGCACAGGAGTACTGTACTCTTTCTTTTGTGGAAACAGAAAAAGCTCTTACATACTTATGTCTTACTACTATATCTTTAGAAACACAAAAAAAAGCTTCTTCTAGGAAAAAAAAAAATCAGTCTGGTACTATTACAAACATCACGTGACATTTAACCCCGCTGATATCCATGCCAGATAATTTGTCAGAATTCTTCAAGACATGTTGGTTATGTGTCCCTCTTACAAAAATTTCAGTTTTGAATCAGCAGAGAGCATGCTGCTATATTTTCTACTCTCATGTGTCAAAGTTTTTGACTCCACATGTATGTTCATACAGTAAAACAGAGATAACATTCTTTACTATTTCTGTTGCTCCCCGCCTTGCCAATCACAGAACTCCAGCAATCTTCACGGTGTCTGGAGAACCAGGAGAACAAGATGGGCTAGTGAATACATGTCAACTGTACATCTCTGACAATTCTGCTTACTGACCTTTTTTTTTTTTAATTTTAATCTTCATATTTTCTATCTTTACATAAATATTCACACTGCAGTTAACTGCAAGCCATCAGCAATCCACAAAACAATTTTTGTGTATAAGTAGCTATGTCCTCAGATCTCTTGAGCTCAGGATCAGTCTGATACTGTGGACACAGTGCAAGTTTTAACAGCACAAGTAGAAAGCTCTGGCTATTGATATGTGACACATAAGGGGGAAATCCCTAGTAGCTTAATGTATTGGTGTAAATGGAGCTAAGGAACTACTTTCAAGAGAAAACTTCAGACAGATCTGAAGGAATAGCTTAACCTACCACATAAGAAGAAGCAGCCATGAGTTTCTCCCATCTACCTAACAAAGATAACAGCTATGCAGAAAGCTACCTTTTTAGAAAGGTGAAATAATAGCTTGGACTCAATCAAAGACTCTTAAGAATCAAGAGGACTAAATTCAAGAGCAAG